GGTAAGGGTAGAATAAGAAAGAGAAAGAACAAAATTGATTAAAAAGTATAAAAAAGAAAAAGGGAGTGTAAGTAGAGAAAAGGGGAGTGGGGAAATCATATCCCCTTTTTTTTTTTGTTCCCTTTTGTCAAAGGAATGAACAGCGTCAGTTTTTTTTAAAAGGAAACAAATCTATTGTTGCTGATGTGGCGTAGCTATAAGCATTAGATTAGTTGAATGGTCCAAATTTTATGAAATGTGGGTAAATGTACCAAATCTAAATGCAGAGACTCAGGATTCTGGATGGAGATCCTCGTCTTAGATTTTCTCTGCTAGAATTTACTTGTTTTTTCTCCTGCACACGCCACCTCACTAACATTCAATCTAAGATATATAACTAAGTAGAGAGAAAATCTAAACATACCATATGCTTTGCAAAGGTTTTTTCTTATCTTTTTACCATAGTAGATATTTCCCATGTGGAGACAAGAAAAAATGGCCAACCCAAAAATGGGCCAAAATGATGATGTTGAGAGAGAGAGAGAGAGAGTGAGTTAGTGTAGAATGCAAGATAGAAAAAGGTCCAAACTTTTCCTGACCGTGCAAGTTGCAACCACCAAGTGTAGTGTAGCTAAATAATGACTTTATTCATCTGTGTCTGTGTGCCTCCATACCCAATAATTCCTAGATATCACATCAAAAAGATAAGTAATTTTGGAGAGTATAAATGCAATAAGAAATAAATCAACCAATGAGGAGAATGACAATAATCACCAACAGAAGAAAGACAAAGCTGCATTTATCAAGAGACCCACTTCACATAATATGTGCAAAACTTTACAAACCACAAAGAAATAATATATCCGGAAACCCGCAGAATGACAAATAGATTTTATTTTGGTGCTCACACTACTTATGCCTTTGATATTTTATTAGGTCTTGGTCTCCCTCCACATCTTTTCTTCTATTTTTTTCCCTTTCCATCTTTTCCATCTCTATTATTATTTTAAGGTGAAGAGATGATCAGAGTTCCATTTAGTCAAAATCCAACAGCTCAAGTGTTGAATGCATATCAGAAAGATTACAAGCACAGCATGAGCACTGAGAAGGATGACCAGATATTTTAGTTGTCCTCTTATGATTATTATTTTTTTCTATGCAAAATTACAAAAGCAGTTCTTCCACTTGCTCTTACTTCCAATTGTAAACCTACCAAACAAGAGTAAACACCACTTGGTTTTCAATTGAGTTCCAGTCTGCTCAAGGAGAAGGATGAAAAGACAAATGAGAAGCCCCCAAAAAGGAGAAAAAACTTAGTTGCAACGGGGATAGTAAAACAATGCTATTCCCGCTTCACGGAAGTCTTTCTCCCCCAAAAGAAAAGGGTTGTTCCTCTTTCTTTTAAACATATAGAGCAGATTAGTACTAAATCAGAGGGATTCGCATAGAAGAAATATTTCACTGGGGCTTACAGATTATATACATAGACCTCATCTTTTCTCTAATCACAAAAACCTTTATTTCAATAATACAGGAGGTCCGAGGAGTCTGCCTAGTCTTTTCTTATTTGAACAGAGCATATTAATCGAAAGAAAAACTCAGGAACATTACCACCACAACATATTATACATCTATGTATATATGTATGGAATAAGAAACAGAAGGTAGCAATCATATATATCAGCTATTATGCTATTTCAACTATGTTACAAAACTCACAGCTAATATGTTATATATCCTAGAAGACAGAGAGTTGTCTAAGAGGCTGCAGTTAAAGGAGAATGGTGAGGAGCTCCATGGAAGAAATTGGACGAAGATGTGTGGCTGGGCTCGGTTTCATGTTTAACCCCTTGATTTTCTTCTTCTTCTTTTTCTTCTTCTTCAGCATCCCAAAGGAATTCAGCATATGAAGCCAGGACAAAACTGCAAAAGGAGGGGAGTTGATACGTTAGTTTAAACAATAACAAACACCAATAAGAAAATCCCTAACCGAGAAACAACAGAACAAGAGATCTCCTAGAATCCAAAACAATCCTGCATATGTGATCATAAGTTACAGAAACCCCGAGAGATATTCCATTACTAGTCAAAACATGTTGATTCATGTGAAATTTACTCAAAATATCTTCATGTATGGACAGAAAAATTTGACCAAATAGAGCATATTCTTAGCCACTCTTAAGAAAGCGGCCTCAGAATATACTGCAGTTTCAATCAAGATTATAAACATTAGGAACTTCAAAACATTTGATCAAACAAGTAATATAAGCTAAAGAAAACAAAGGAACTAAATTCGATAAACCGCATATGAAGAAGAAACTTTGATCAAAACAGGAACTTGTTTCTTACCAGTCGTCAGGGGAAGTTTTAACAGCTTGATCATAGTAATTCTCAGCTCGTTCAGCATCCTTCTGTGTTTTCCATATTATATCAGCATATAGTGATAAGACATTGGCATCATTTGGGTTCGCCAAAATCGCTCTTCCACAGTACTCCTCTGCTTTAGCATAATCTCCTCGGACCTATTCCCATTATTGCTAATCAGAGAAACTCCAAATTGATCAAAGATCAAATCTTCACGAAATATATATACACTTACACATTTATATATACACATAACATATTGAATGAAAAATACATTTGATCATTTACTTCTTCTTGATTGTTAATCTAACCAACCATGTAGTTTATCAGACAAAAAGCATAGCAATGTCCAAATAGTTATAGAATAACCCATCAATTAAGATGGCAATCTCCATTCTTTTGATCAGTTTTCTCATAAACCAAACAGGAAACCATAATCCAAGAAAGAGGGAAGCTTGCTATCTAGCTGTGCTTTATTTTTATAACCACTTACCTCTTTTAGAAACTTTGCATAGTTCCCAAGTAAGAGGCAATTTCCCGGGTCAGCTTGAATCATCTTCTGATAATAAGCATCTGTGCTCCCACTCCCATGATTGTTACTCTCAAAGAAACCAGAACCCCCTCCATCTCCACCGTCCGGTCCTTTCCCACTACCACCACCACCACATATCTTACCACCATTACTTCCCGCACCACCACCCAAAACTAGTGTCTGCAAACCATCGTCTTCTTTCCCCACAGCAGAGTCTTCATCTTCCATGAGCTTCACACCCAAACCAGAGCTTGAGAACAGCCTTTGGGTCGCAGATGAAGATATTGAGCTGGGTTTTAGCTCTTCTTCTTGTTCTTCAACATTTTTGGCCTTGGTTTTAGATTTCTTTCCAAGGCTTAGAGGTATGGGGTTCTTCTTTTTGGGCTTAGGTTGGCTTGGGATGTCTGCTTCTAACAAGATTTGGGTTGTTGTTTTCTTTGTTGAGTCGATTGAAGGTGAGTGAAAAGAAGAAAATGATGATAAGGAAACTGACCTGGTTCTAGTGAGGAGTGACTCTGGCTCTGGTGAGAAGTCTTTTGAGTGGGAAAGCCATGAGTTCAAGAGCGGAGCTGAGGAGCTTCTAAGAAGCATGCTTATAGCTTAACAAAGGTACAACTAAAAAAGGTTCTTCAGATATATTATATATATAAGGGAAAGTAAAGAAGTGCGGACTGCAGAAATGGTGGGAAGAGGGGAGAGAGAGAGAGAGAGGGAAAACCTCACTCCCTTGGAACAGTAAACTGCTAAAGCACCTTTAAAAAGAATAAATATTCTCTACAACAATTGTTTTCGTCACAAAAAAATAAAATAAAAGTTTTATTTATGAAGCTAATTTCCTTTTCTTGGAGATACCTGTCATGTTTATGTTGTTAGACAATACGATATTTTTTCCCGAGAGACAATAAAAAGAAAATGCGGATATTTTCTTGTCAAATAGTATACATTGTATTGCTAAACATTTAGACTAAAAATTCAGACAAGAATTCATCAAGAAGGTATATAGTTTAGATTAACAATTTGACGACATTTCTACTATTTACAATTGTCTTTTACTAAAACCTTATGTGCAAGTGTAATGAGCAATTTGGGCAAATTCGGTATCAAGTGGTAGGCGACAAAGATACAGCCGCTGCTGCAGTTGTTGATGGTTGATGATGGTGTGGTGTGGTGTGGTGTGGTGTCTTCACCGTATTAGCCCACGGCCAATGGCCAAAGTACACTAGCTTAACCAACATGTTGGACTAAACATCTTCACGTGAAGGGTAGGACTCACCACTGCCGATTTATTCGATTCCTTTTCTGCTTTACGATTGGTGTGATTGGACGGTCCATATTTCGCTTTCGGAAATGACCAAGTCGTTTTACCTTTCATTTTTCCCTCTCCTCCTCTTGCGTTGCGGCACTAATAAGTGCAATTGAATGGATTGATGCACCTTCTTAGTTGAAATTGAAAGAAACAGAGAAAAATGGACATGACAGCGCGGAGATTTTTTACGTTCTATGCCTGTTTAGATTGGTTGGCTTTCACGGATGTACTTGGTACTAATTTGAGGCCAAAACCGGTCTAAAACCATTTCAATTTGTCAGTTCGGCTGTGCAATTTAAAGGTAAAATCGATCCAATCCGAACTGTGCCAACTCTAACGAGTATATTACAATCTCATTGTGTCCCTCTAAATTACAAGATTTCCGTTTTTAAGAGGTCTAGATTACAATCTCATTGAATCCCTCATAAACTAGAGTAATATTACCTCATTACTACGTTCTTGAGTAAAACCTAACTTGTCCTAGTTAAATGTTCTCTTATTGAAGTTATTTGTACCCTATCAGAATGAGGGTATGAGAGTTCTTGTATTATTATTTAAGTTATCCAGGGGCTTTGTCAAAGACCTGCAAGTTAATCGAATCCAACATATCCACGCAGAAGCAGACTGTTGCAGATACCTTGGCAATGCAAGAACATGATCACTCCCAACCTTCTATTTGGTCATCTAATTTTCCCTTTTCAGTGGTTTGTAAATCTCTGTATGATTTTCGGATTTTAGGAATGTAATTTGTTTTAGACTTCCAAATAAATATATTAATAAAGTTCTTGTATTATTAGTGAGAATGGAAAATCAACATCAAGATCAACACCTACAATCACATGGTGCTTTTAGTTTGTTCCGGAGACAATGGCAATCAGTAAGCCAAGCTAATTGAGTTTGGCTGATGATAAGCCAGAATGTAACCCAAGAATCACTTTACATACAAAACACCATGAGAAAAACCAAAATGAAAAGAGCAACATAACTGCACCAAACATTAACCAACTCAATCATTCCAGTACTTTGAGGCAGACTGTGCAACAGCAATTTCATCAATAATTTTTACTAAAAGTGCAGGATACAATCAAGGGTTGAACTGTGACTGCATGTGTTGCTGCCGTTGGGGTGAGGACCATGAGGTGCCACCCCAACGTTCTCTGGGGATTACATGATTGGTACATGTCATATTCTGAACATTGCATTTCCATTTAAAGCCGAATCTCATGACAAATTATGTATGTATAGTATATCATGCACGAATAGGACATGATTGACAGACAAAAAGCACAAGCACATGATGGCAGATCAATGCATTTCCAACCCCCAAGCCTATTTAGAGCTCTAGGACCCTACCTCACAATGGCAATGAGCTTCTCAAATTTGCTGTAATCAGGTAGCAGGCCTATAATATGCATCGGAGGCATGATTAAACTCCCCGATGCAGTTTCTGCTTTCGTATTGCAGTTCTCTCTACCAACTTCGACAGTAACTTTCCAGTGTAACGCTATTGTCAGAGTTAATTCAAGAAACCTAGAAGGACTTACTACATTTGACTTGGTATATAATCTAAACCACACATCTCATCCCTAAAGTTCTTGGTATATGATTGTGTTTGATAGAAACTCAAAACGGATCTACTAAAATTTCCAGAATTTGCTTTCATGTGCATTAAGGACAAGAAAATCAAGAGCCACTGCTTATTCATCCTTTGATAATTACAGCATTTGAAACTAAATTTTGTGTATGTCATCTAGCCCACTAGTATTTATCACAAGAAGTTGCTCCTCTTTTAATGTATAGGCTACGACTACCCATCCAGTCTATCATTATATACAATAAATGCTTACTAGGTCATTTTCTAAATCGTGAGCCCTTGTTTGGTCGACTCCTTTCATCCCATACAGAAGCCCAGAAGAAAAGAGACATCCAAAAAAGAACAGCAAAAAAGATCTGCACTTTGTCCTGAAACTTGGAGAAAGATGCTACAAGACCTGTTTCAACAAAAAGGTCCAGTGAGGGACTTTGGGTCAGCATTTTAGACAAACTGTACCAAAGCAAGGAAAAAACAGTGTCACAAGATTCATATGTGATAGACAAGCAGTTCTATGACCAGATGTGAACATATATAAGCTTTGCGAAAGTGAACATGTAAAAGTATGCCAACAACATTATAAATCAGATATACATTTGTTAAGAGAAGAAAGGGAAGGCGAGAGTGGAGGTGTGGGAGTGAGTTTCCATCAACCAAGTATTTCATAATCTACAACTAATTTATTTACTTATCGCAACATATATACATCCCCAAAATTCTCTACTTAGATGCAATTATTTTCATTCAAAGCATAAGCCACTTGTTGGCTCTCTTTTGTGCCCTTATCTTGCTCTGCCATCACTGACCTTATATACAATTGAAACCTCCATTATTTCAATAATCAGTACACATACAATTGCATTTCTATCATTATGTTACTTTAGAAATTATAACTAACCTAAACTACCTTGCAGCTCAACCAAAAAAGTAAAAACAAAAAGGTGCTGTACCCAAACCACGGGAAACTATCATTATGTTACTTTAGAAATTATAACTAACCTCAACTATTGCTATCAAATATCTGCAACCTCATTCCATCAAGATTAGATTCCACAAACTTTGAGACATGGAGATAACAGATGGAGTACATGCTTAAAAGCTTTAGCTACATTGATTGTTCATGGCTATGTCTGGTTCAATTTGCGGTGAATGATAATGTTTGTTGGTTTACCATTATTCCCAAAAGATGTGAACCAACAATTGTTCTATATTCCAGCACTCCCTCCCTCTCCCCCTACCGCTCAACATGTGGGTTTCTACCATTAGAGCCTAATATATAAAATTCACATTAGATCAGGAGGATGAATCAAGATATCCAGGCCTTGATACCATATAAAGTATTTGACAAAAGAGTAGCTGAATGAATCTGCCATTAATTAGGATTACAGCAATAACCTCATTATTACAATGGCTTACAATCAGTTTCATCACCACAACTAATCTCAAATGATTATAGCCCTATAACTAATATTACAACGTACTTTAGTCACTACAACCAACCTTAGGAAGCTAAGATTGAGTGCAGTTGATGCACTAAACCTTATGCTATCTATCCCTGGGACTCCTTACTTCGGATCAAACCGGCTCCATGAATTCAGAATCTAATTTTCATCAGTATAAATAGGTTAGCCAAACAAGAAAACAAGTCCCAAGACTCATATCTCATCTGTACAATCTAACGTGTTGGTAAAATTTTATCAATTTATAAAAAAGATGGAAATGGTGGTTGATAAGTGCAGGAATGTTAGTTTCAGTTTAAGGAATGGTGCACTTTCACTACTCTAAACATCAAATAACACGCCAGGTACCATAAGAGTGCAAGTAAGACACTTGAAAAAATTGAACTTTTGCCAATTGCAATATACAAGCTCAGAACCCAGCTCAACAACCACAGCACAACACATAAAAAGCAAATATCAATACCACAAATTTCATTCATTCCCTAATATATATATTAACAATAACAAAATTGAACATCTTACTCTCAAAATTAACCCTAAGACCCCAATTACAATTCCAAATTTCAAATCTAGCAGCTCAATTCCATGGAAACGAAACTATCGGGTCTTAATTCTACGAATTATAAGAACAATATGAGTATGAGCAATACCTGTGAGGCTAGTGGAGTCAGATTCTGGGGGAGGCAGAGGCGGCCCGGAATTGGCGGCAAAGCAACGACCGGACCTAGAAGGAAGAGCGACATAAGGACGGCCGGGATGAAGCGGGAATGGGGAGGCGCGATTGGCGGAGGCAGGAGGGGTGAAGTGATGGCGGGTGCAGGGGATTGAGAAGGAGAGGAGGAAGAGAGAGTTTGGGAGGGGGAGTGGTAATGGCTTGTATGGTGTTGAAGGAAGGAGAGTTGCTGCCACTGCCATTTTTGGGAAGTTCGGGAATTTTGTTTGTTGTGAATTTTGAGCCAACTTGGAGTATATATTGGTGGCAGAGGCCTAATTTGGGCTTGAGGCTTCCTCACTATTGGGCTCAATTTTATTCTAAGTATCAAACTTGGGGCCCAAAAGAAAAAACAATTATAATACTTTTTTTTTTCCATTTGGGTTAGGCATCTCCCTCCTCGTAGATTACGGTAGTTTAGAATATCATTTTGTGACTTAAAAAAAATAGATTTCTTGTTAATATTAGTGTCATGTAATCAAATGATAAATTTTCAAACACGAAAAACCACTATTTAACAAAAACATATAATTTTTAGGCCACTCATAAATTATTCATGCAAAAGTTAGCAAAATGAAAAACCATTGTACTTATTTGTTTAAATTATAAAATAACATTGTAAGATGGACCCGAACGAGTAATTTGTGTCATATTAAATAATACTTGGTGTATATCAAACATACAAAACTATACCAATACTAAGAGTACCATGATCTTGCTTACAAAACTTAAGATTTGATCATTTACATAAACAGGGGCCAAAGTTGAGTAATTAATACTTCCCAGTTTCAAGCATTATGAAATTTCAAAGTGTATGAATGTAGACAAAATGCTTACTTTTGAAGTGTTGTCTTTTCCATAGTACACTGGTTGCTTTTTATGAATTTTCATCAGCAAGCTTAAAGCATGACATCTCATTGTTTTGGTACAAATAGTTAGGTGCATACATCTGAACCCTTTATTTTGGTAAAACAGTGACAACAACACAGTGATGTACTGTTTTGTTAGTGCATACAGACCTATCAGTTGCACAAGAATTCATGAACACAGAAAAGAAAACAAAATAAAAATAAAATGAAGCAGCAGCTGATACTGATAGGTAGAAATTAATATATAATTAATCAGTATCTACAAACACATAACAGGTGCATAAGGCACATCTAAATGATTGATTTCTAAACCCTTTTTTTTTTTTTTTTTTGAAGTCTTATCTTTTCAGAGCACACCATGCATGAGCTAGAGAGATCAGAACTTGACAGCTTAGGTAGAACAGAAGGTTCATCTAATAATAAGTATATATATGCTAGTTTCTATATAAGGGACAGGTGAAGAATAAGAGATCTCAAGGTTGAAATAGCTTATTTCCACATCTGCATTTCCATGAGAGCAAATAATAGCTGCCATCTTCTTCTCCATGAGATGACAAGCTGAAGCGCTTTGTTTTGTGAACTGGGATGACCAGAGTAGCAATGCAAGGCCTGCAATTCAAGCACTTGTTTTGACATCCAGGAGGCCTTGAACCCAAAACCATTTTGCTTTGCCTGAATTCATCATCATCACTCTCACTGTTGTTGTTTGAATGCAGAGAATCCACTGGCAATGTTCAAAGCAGAACCAAAACACAACATGAAAAATGAAGAAAGCTACTTGATCAAAAGCCATAACCCAAGTAATATAAGTCTTTGTACTATCTAAATAATAAAATAAAAAACAGAAAACAGAACAAGAATCTCAATTAGAGAGGTTGGTTTTGAGGACAGTCAATGAATAAAACACAACCAATTTGAAGAACCCAATTTGTATTTTCAACTTTTAGTGAGAACAGAAAGCTCTAAACACAAACAATTGAAAAACCCAATTTGTATTTTTCAACTTTCAATGAGAACAGCAGGCTCTAAATAGTCTTTTATTGAAGTGGGGTGGTTTAGTTTAGTTTTTTTTACCTGTGTTGGGAAGCAGAATTGTGAGCAAAAAGATGGACGCCACAGTGATTATTGCAACTTTGAGGCCATGTACATGATAGCTTCTGCTTGCAGGAGCCATCAGATGATCAGTCTTTGAAGGATGATGATGCTTCTGATGTTTGTTACAGTGAAGAAAGGGTATGATGCTGTGCAAGAAGCACAGGAGAAGAGAGGATTGGTGGTTGACAAAGGAAGAGACTCAATTAATGGAAGCTATTTATATTATTTTAGACGTGGTGGAAACAAATGCTGTTTCTTTTCTACACTACATTTCTCTGTAGCCCATGTCTTGCATGCACCAATAAAAAGACTTTGATTTTGTGGAAAATGTAATTTTTCTTGGTCATTTTGGGGACTGTTACCCCTGACACAAGGTTTTTAGTGAAAGACTGAAGCGACTATTTGACGATCTTGGGATAGGCAACGTGGTTAATCAATTGTCTGGTAAGTGGAAACACTGATCCACCAAATTGCCCTTAATTAGCTTTCTTTTTTTCTCCTTTTTGGCATATCTGAATTTTAAATTTTGATGCAGAAATATTTTTCCACAAAAAAAAAACTTGAATTTTTTATGAGCATAAATACTTCATAGAAAAGTAGTCCAAACCAGCCCACCATTACTCTCATGTCTGATTCTACATTGGTTTTTTTATTCTGCAAGGACCTATTTCCAGAATTATTACAAAATATTCGATGGAGCAAAAATGCTAGCTAGCTGCATTCAATTATGGTATGGAATAATAGAAATAGTCCAAACACTTCCTACAGTCAATGGTTGTCTCTTTCTGTTTGGTGATTGAAAAAGTTGATTGGATTGCCCAATTTTTTACCATTTGTGGGTACAAAGGGCGAAGAGAAAACAAAGTAGAAGATGCGTATTTTGGATAACAACACTCAACTGTAATATCTTATGAAGTTTTATATACGCACATCATATATGTCAAGTATATACATATTATATACAAAATCGTATATACAGGTATATATATATTTATTATATATCTCGATTTACCCTGTCATGTATGTAATTTACATATTTTTTTATGAAAAAAAGGGAGTCCAACGCGAGGACTTCTTAAGAAATTTACACATTTTATTGTTAACCTTTTATGCATATAAAATTGTACCACGAGGTCTTGATGTTCATCTCTCATTGGCTTGGCTAGATGTTTTTCTTCCGTACGAGCAAGCAAAGAATCTTCATATTGATGACATCTTTGTCAAACATAAAACCAATGAATCACCATAGTTAATATTGGAAAATGAAGTTGAAAACTAGAATGAGGATAACATATCTAATGGATGACTGAGATTAAAATTCATGAGCTAGTCCTTAACATCGCTATTAAGCGATATTTAAACTAAGATTATAAACTTTTTTGGGAAAACCCTGCAATCCAAAACCTTTAGTAAACTCAAATATATATGTAAATTATGTGTATTAGGAAAATTCAGATGATTTTGCGTTGGTTTCTTGAAGAAGCAAGTTGAAAATATATCAAACAAATCTAATCACCAAAAGAGAAAGTGCTTTAACAGAACTGTGTTTAGAGCAGTGTATAGGAGAATCCAAGTAATTACTGATCACTGCAATAGACAACGTGCAAGCTACAGCTGACCTTGTAAACCCTGCAGATGCACACTTGGTAAAAGCAAACACCAAACAGTTCTAAGATTTTTCACCAAAAAAAGTAAACACCAAACAGTTCTTAAGATTTCTTGCCTTTTTACAGCTTTTAGACTCTACTTACACAACAACAAGAAGGAAAATTAACTGCCTCTTGGGAAACCTGCAACATTTAACCTTCTCACTTTTCCAAAGAACTTGTTTGTAAAACTTTGCCATCTTCTCTTATCCCCAAAACCTGTAAAAATAAGAAAAAAGAAAGAGAAGAAGAAGAAGCAACCCTGTGAGTGTGACTAATATAATGATGAATTCTACACTGAAATATCAGTTTTGTAAATTTAGAGGGGAAAAAAAATCATATATTTGATAGCCTTGGTACATTTCTCATTATATTCTCAAGTCAAGCTCAGAGTCGGATCATGTCATAAATCAATCTCATCTTTACCTAAAAAAACACCTCTATTCAATTTAGAAAAGCCCTACTCTTATAGCCTCAAGTTAAAAGAATATTCCAAAAAAACATAAATAAAAATTTAGGATCCTTCTTATTGAGATGGGCGATAACATACTAAACTCACACACACTACACAGATGTTATGACTCGAACTCAAGACTTTTTCTGAAAGGAGCATTTGCCCAAAAAAGCATTTTTATGTGTCAATTGAGCTTTTTTTATTATATATATTAATTGGAAGTTAATTTTACTGGTTTTCGATCAGCAAAAATATATATAATTAAAGCTTTTTCCCCTTGCAGGGTTTGCAGCGTTGCAGCTACATATATGCAAAAGGACATTGTTCCTCGTTAAATTCAAAACACCCATGAAAATGGTAAAAGTGAATTGTTATTCTTGGTCAATTTTCCATAAATGGCAGTCATGAATTGTTCAAAGCACCAATTCGGGGCACATAATAGGTCTCCTTGTCTCAGAGTTGGCCCCAAATGATCGGCGCGATTCTAGCTACTCAAACAAATCTACCACTTTCTCCTGTTTGCAATAAGCTCTTCACTCTTGTACCCACATTTTGCACTTATAAATATATATGGAATGATTCATGAAGGAGAAGATTCAAACATTGACAATATTGGGTGAGAGTAACTGCTATTATATAATCCTCTCTCTATCAATAACACTAGACTCGTCCACCACTATGCGACGCATAGAGAAAAACTTACATGTTATGTACAATGAATGTTTCTTTATTTTAACATCACGTGACATCTCTCATATCGCATTAAAGAGATTCAGGAACATCCAGTCCATATAATCGAAATAGCCAAGTTTTTTTTGTGACACACAACAGTAGAGATTATAATAACATCCTATATGCTAGGAGTACATAAGCTCAAATTTATGAAAGATGAAAAAATAGAACACAATCATGTCAGTTGGGATCAAACTATTTAGAGCAAAGTTTAGGGCATTACTATGATGTAATTGTCTTTCTATTCTTGTGGTATCCTTGACTTCGGATGTTTGTAATACTACATTGAACATAAGGTTAAAGATTATAAAATCAAATTATCTGGAAGATAGAAAGAAAAAGTAAATGTAAATCAAATGATTTATGCTTCTGTAACAGAAATATATATATATATATATTTTTACCCTAAAAAGTAAAAAGTAAGGAAGACAAGACAGATGCTATGTCTTTTCATATG